TTGTGACTTTTCAAACTAATCTCTTGCACCTGAACTGATTTAGGGTTGCCATATCAAAGGGGTTGAATACTTATGAAATTAAGAATATTCTAATTTTCTTTACAAAATCTAACTTACTTACATAATATCAGCATTTTAATAGCTTTCTCAAGTTGGAGTAGATTGTGTAGATTTTAAATATAAAGTGGCCTACTGTATTGGACTGGTTTATCAGCAGGGGTCAATTCAAACATGTATGTTGAAGCTTTTCATTCCCAGTTTTAAACAAAAATACTTAAATGGAAAGTTTAACAAGTGCATGAATGTTTTCACTGAAACACTGGTCAAGAATAAGCAGGCTTGTGCACATTTGTTTGGGTCTGAGGGATCATTCACAATCAAATCAAAACCATGTTCTTCAGTGGAATATCAAGTTGCAAGTAGTTTTCTGTGATACATCACTCTATCACTTCCCATGTACAGTTTCTTGTGACACAACACTCTATAACCTCTCATGTGCAGTTTCCTGTAACACAATACTATAACCTCTCAGGTACAGTTGCTTTCTCTAAGCTTCTACGTCCTTCGTTAATGTGTCGACGTGCATCAGCCTCTCCTTGATGTGTGCACCACAACGTTCTGTTACAAACATTGCAGCAGAAATGGTTAATCGTACTACTCACAGAAGATATGAATGGGTATTTTGCACTCCATTCTTTGTTAAATTTGGTCTTGTACTTCGTGGTCCCCCAAATATTGTAACTTTTTAGCAGCTGGCAACAAAGTTTCCGATTCACTCTCCAAGTCAGACAGTATTGAAATTTCAACATATAAAAACTAGGCTGTGATTGGTTTGTTATTGATAATTGAACAGTGAACGAGGCCAATAAGTGTACATGGCCTTAGGCTTACGGAAATAAGTGAATTTAGTCAAAGAGTGGCAAATAAAAGAAATCAACTCAAGTTTTTAATTAATGAAAAATATTTTATGACATACTTCACATCAAATGTGTAGGATTTATATATATATATATATATATATTACAGCATGAGAGTGTGACATAGCATGTACATACATGACACTTAACAGGTCTGAATTGTTGAGTTTACATTAGGATCCTGTCCAGAGACAAATCACATCATAAACATATCTATTCCAATATTTAAACAGAGGACAAGTTAGCTATGGGTTTCCCCCCTCTCTCCTTTGCTTGCAGAAGTTTAAATGGAGAAGACATTGTTTAGTGATGAAAATAATACAAAACATGTTAAATGTTGGTATAGATATGTTGATGATCTGATTTGTCTCTGAACAAGATCCAAACATAAACTTGAAACTTTTGTAACTTTTCTAAATTCACAAAACAAATTTATTAAGTTTACTATTGAATTTGATGAAAATGGAAACATTAACTTTTTGGACTTAAAATATTAGCATAGATAACAGTAAACATTCCTTCAAAATCTTTAGAAAACCTACTTATAGTGACAACGTCATACATGCTTCTTCAAGATATCCAATATCTCACAAACTTGATGCGTTCCATAGTTTGTTACACTGTACCCTTATCATCTGAAGATTATGAAACTGGAATAAAAACTATAAAACAAATTGCTGTCAACAATGAAGTTAATTAACATACTGTTGTTTAAAAATATGAAAGCCATAAATCTAAAATCAATATACCCACATACTATACCAAACAGCCACAAAAACAAATGGTTTAAGATGAGCTACAGTGGAAAACCTTCTCACAAAATATATAACGCACTAAACAAAGAAATCTAAAGACCAGCCTTCTATCTAAAAACAACCTAGGAAAAATGTTGTGCAACAACAAAGACAGAATGGAAAAGTACAACAGTGGTGTTTAGCGTATAAAGACTACAATAGTGTATATATAAGTCAAAAAGGATGTCACATAGAAACAAGAATTAAAAAACACTCAAGAAGCTGGAAATTAAGGCATCTCACCTTATTGAAACTAAACACCAACTTGATTCAGAAAAAATTGCAAAATTTTACATATCTGTGAAAAAGGTAAAAAACTAGACAGTCTGGAAATTTTATAAATAAATAGATGTCTAAAAACAAATCCAGAAAAAGTTCTAAACAACCAAACCAACTTCAGCTCCTCCCCACTTGTCTCTAGGTAAATGTCAAGGTCACTTCCATTTCTTTGTTTAAACATATATATAAACCCTGCTACAAACCAGTTCAGTCTGTACCTGAGGATGTCTTTACTAGTGAAACCATGGTCGTAATAAATGATGTATTTGTGAAATGTACAACTGTCTTGTTTTTCCTTAATTCTGTAATTATGGAGTTTCACCAAGTACCAATTATATATATATATACATATATTATTTATGTAAAGCAATCTTCTTGGGAAATCAAAGGAAATTAATCATTTGATGATCAGATACAAATTTTCACACACAAAAAGTTAATAATTATTGTCAAATTTAATCATACAGCAAAACTCAGCAAGAGGAATATATTAATAATTTTACATGAACTTTTATTGAAAACAATTTGAATCAAAGTTGAAATTTTTGTGGTTTGGCCATTAAGAAAATCCAACTTACACCACTTAAAATTGTAAGTTTCTCAAATCTTTTTATATAGTTGTTAAAATAAAAACAGTAGTAGAATAAAGAAATAAAAACATACTTTGTACTTTTTATGTGTTGTAGTTTTATCATCTAAAAAGAAAAACAAATTTCAAAAATTATTACTACATTTTCTATTTTAGCAATAATTAAGTTAATTTTTCTGGCTAATGGCCATTTTAATACTGTTCATTCACTAATTTTAAACCAAGAAATTGAAATGAATAAAGTGCATTCATCAAAATATCAACATTTGATATGTATGTATACACACACACAC